TCAGTCACAGGCAGGGGTCGTCTGCCCCACCCAACAGCTGGTCGAAGTCGCACTTCCTCTACTTGTAGGTGATGTTCTACCTGGCAATGGAACCACAAAAAGGGGAAGGAATCCCAGTATCATCTCTCATATATCCTGCCAACTTTAAGGAACCCCAATTCAGTGTGCTTGCTGTAAACTCAGTGGTGGAATGGGACTGCAGCAGGTTAAGAAGGATGCCATGCCTGCTGTCAGTCTGAGGTTTATGGACTCTTCTGCAACCACAAGAGTGCAGGGACATGCTGTGCACTGAGAAATGGCCAAAGCTGCCAGGAGATGCTGAGGAAGGAAGACTTAGGTCTGCCTTTATGGAGCAGGAGTGGGCACTCCATAAAGGAAATGGCTTTGAAGGAGTAGAAAATAAGAAGGGAGATGTTCCAGGAGAGCAGAAACATCTAATGAGAGGGAGAGCACAGGATGCCTCCTTGGGGTGTCCTGGGATGAGCTGGAGAAGCTCATGCCAAGTTTAGTACCTTGAATGCTAATGATAATAAAAAACAGTGGATTATACAGCTCCTAGAAGCTCTATCATTTGTTCACTACCTCCAAGCCTCCCACCAATTCAAATCACCTCATGGGGGTGGCCTATGGGACCCACTACCTTTAATCTTTAATACCTTCTCTAACTACATAAGACCATCCTACAGTCCCTGCTGTCTGGCCATCCCGATAGGTGCATATGTGTGTGTGTGTGTGTGTGTGTGTGGTGTGTACTGCAGACCTCAATGACATTGGAATCTGAGAATCCAGGTAGGCGCTGGTCCTTGCAGATGACTCCGGCATCCTCATCATGGGTACAATCACTGTTTCCCCAACCCCGGGAGGCACATTCAGTCACACTCTGCTCAGTTCCACTGCAGCTCAGGTTGTCCAGCCAGATGCGGCCTATGGAAGGGGTGGGGGATGAGGGTAGAGAGAAGTTTGGGAAAGAAGGATGGAGTAAGGGGGATACTGGGAAGAGTGAACATCAGGGCCTTACACCTGGCCATCTGGCCATGAGAAGGAACAAGGGACCATGGTGGGGAAAAGTAAAGGACATAAGATTGATGGAAGATTGGTAGTGATCTGAGAATACTCAATAATTTAACAAGGTGAATAAAAAACTAAGAACCAACACTGAAGTTCTGATCAGTTCTTACCCATTCAATGATAGTTATAATTAATCAAGTACATACTGTGTGCCAGGTGCTCTACCATGTGTGTATATATAATTAACCATTCTTATAACAGAGCTGCCAGAAGACCATTTTATATGAATAGACTGGGTTCAGAGAAATTAAGTGACTTGCTTAAACCACATTGCCAATGAATGAGGCTTAGGAGTTTGGCCTGTCCATGACACCTGGAAATCTAAGATCCTTTCTCCTCATCCTGGTATTCTCCTATGTGCTTGTCCTGTCTATGTTGCCACATAGTCTCTTGTTCTTTTCTCTGTCTGGACCATACTGAATTCTTATAGATGTCCTCATAGAATTGGGCAGAACCTAAAAGTTGTCTGTTCCTGCCAAGATGCAGGGACCCCCCCTCATTTACACCCTGATAGAACTTACCCAGTTTCTGCTGGGATACCTTTCTCCTTCCCAACAGACTGTGTGTGTAACCATCAAAAAAGTCCTTGTGATTCTTTTTTGTTCTTTTTCTTTTTTTTTCCTTGTGACTATAACTTTCCTGAACCATGTCCGATTCAGTCTTTTCAGTCCCTCAGCCACATGACTGTCCTTTCCATATTTGTAGACAACTATCATGTAATTGCTATTCAAGACCTTTTCTTTTTATACCAAACCACCTCTGGTTTCTTAAGCTACTCCCTCTGAAACTAGGCTTCTGAATCTTTCACATCTAGGCAGCTCTTCCCTGAAAATATTTCCATTTTCTACTGTTCCTCTTAAAATGTGATCTTTGCATGGGACACCTTATTCCAAAGCTGGTTTAGCTAGTGGGAACTGGTGGATCAGTTGCAGGCTACACTCGCTTCTGTCTATCATTTCCACTATGGGTTCATATGTGAAGCACCTCCGGACCTCAATGAGAATTTCTCTTAAGCCTACCCCCTCAACCTCTATATGCCAGTTCTAGTTTGATTCTGTTAGCTGCAGTATCTGTGCTTCTTTCTGACATTAGAACATCCATACATCATTTACTAGCTCTCATCTTCCCTTGAAACCAACTTTACTTTAATCATTACAAGACTCACCTGTATCTGGGCTGTCCTTGTACATGTGTCTTTTTTTGTTGTTGTTTGTTTGTTTTTTTTTACAATTATCTTTTTGCAGCAGAAAGAAACTTAGAAATCATCTAGTCATTGTGCACATGGTGCATGTGAGGCTCATAGAAAGCAGCGACTAGCCTGAGGTCACAGTTCTGGAAGTAACTATATTGGCTAGTTTGTCCCCTGTGGGTTTACTTGAAGCTGGCTGTTCTTGATGCTGTATGCCCTAGTGGCTGTGCCATTCTGGCATTCTCTCTCCCTGCACTTAGTCCACACTCAGGTATTACCTAGACTATGTCGGGAATATTACTGACCTACCTGTTCCAGGGCCATATTTGGCACTGTGGGTCCAGCCTGTGGCCTCTGTGAAGCCCAGCTCACGGCAGAGGACATGGGCAGCCTGCAGTGTGAAGTCATCATCACAGATGGTGCCCCATTCACCAGCTCGCTGTATCTCCACTCGGCCCTCATAGGGTTTCCTGGGGAAGCCAGCAAGCCGGAACCGCAGTCCCTGGCTTCCCGCCTTCTTCTCAGGGCCCGTGGAAGGGGACGGAGACCCCAAGCACAAGCTGCACATGAGGTACAGCAGCAGGCCCCATGGACTCCACAGCCAGATGCTGACAGGTCGCATGGCAGGAAACGCCTGGACACCCCAGAGAGAGTGTGTAAAGCCCAGAGTCAGAGAAAGAAGGGAGGAGTTGTGGGGAAGGAGATTCCCTTAATGACTGAGAGATAGAAACACACTCTAAATGAAGGCAGAGACACAAAGTCAAAGAGGGACACAGATTGGGGTGTGGGAAGGGGTTCTCTTTCCCTTTTGGAAATAATAAAACTCATAATAAGTAGTTACAACCCACATGTCCTTCCCTAGTTTGCCATCATCTTCATTTATCCCCATTCACCAGTCTTAGAGACCCAGAGATCAGAAGACAGAGGTTAGAAACCAAGAGTCAGAGAATGGTCAAGATAAAGAGAGACTGAGAAAAGACACACAGAGAGGAAGACCCGGACAGGATGTGAGAGGAAGGGAGACTGTGGGAATGAAGGGGGCAACACAGAAAGAGACAGTGGAGAGAGACACGTTGAAGATGGATGGAAAGTGACATGGAAAAGAATCGTGCACACAGTAATGAGGAGTGAGGGAGAGAGACAGAAGACATGTGAGGAGAGGAATTGACAAGATCCAAGGAGCAGGCAGAGTAGGGATGACCCCGATTAGCCAGACAAATGACAGACAGCTATACAGATTGTGGAGAGAGACAGGCAAAGGGAGACTGGGAGACCCTCAGAACCCTTGAGTGGGAGTCCTATCTAGGCAGATTCCTATCTGCAAATTTTTATCTCTTTCCCAGGCAGGGAGGGCAGCCGCAAAGGGCTTGTGGAGAAACCGCTGCATTCCCTTCTCAGCACACAGACTTTCAGATGCCCTGCAGGGTCAAGGAGCCCAGTAACCGCTAGGCCTCATGCTGGGCAGAAAATGGGGTGGGGTAGTCCAAGCCTTCTGCTCACACCAGTGTGGCTGTCACCGGGCAACGGGAGGCCAGGGTGCGTTCTCCACTCTTTGCCCAAGGCCTTCTCTGTCCAGGGCTGAGAACAACCTCTCCACAGAGAGGGGGCTCCCTGAACATGCTTTCCCCAAACCAGACAAACAGCTCAACAAGACAGCTTTGTTTTGGGAACATTTGGCTTTGGGGCTCAGGGGTAGGGCCTCACAGAGGAGCCCCCTGCCTCCCAGCTGCCCCTCATGAAACACCCTGCAGCCCCCACCCTCGATATTTGTTCTTTTCCCCACTCTTCTTGTGTCTCATTCCCCTTAGACAATAATAAAACTCTCAGTTGGTTGGTTTCCCCGACTCCATCCCACACCACCCCTTTTCCTAGGTCCCTCCACATCCTCTACATCCCAAATTCCCCTTTCTCAGGCAGCTTGCCTTCCCTACCTTTGGCTGGAAAGGGCCCTAGGGACTGGGAGAAGAGTCCTGGTCCTGGAGATTAGTGCTAGGACTTCCAAAAAAAAAAAAAAAAAAGTGCTCGGCCAGGGGAGACTGGACCCCCCCTCTCTCCCCCCTCGCTGCTAGTCCCTCCCACGTCCCCTTGAGCCCTCCCACATTCCTCTTTCTCCCTCCATTCCTCTCAAGCCAGTTCCCTACTCTACGTCCTCCCCTCCCTGGTGGAGCTGGCCACTGCCGCGCCACCTCCCCCCTTCCCCTTATCCTCCCGGCTCAATGAAGCTTTCTTTTCCCGCAGGTTGGAGGCTGGGCAGCTGCGATCAGAGAGCTGGATTGCAAGCGGCCACCGGGCGGCGGCCCCCGTGGCGGTGGGAAGCCTTCCAGCCCCCAGCCCTTCCTCCATGTCCCTGGCTAGCCCGAGTGTAAACAGTACAACTCGGGCAGGGCCACGGGTGGGTTTGGCCAAGGGAACTCAAAGCTTCAAAGGCCCACTTGGCCTTTCTGGTGTCCCCAGGGCTCCTGGGGGTGATGGCACATCCTTTACTCTGATGTCACGTTGAGCACATGACGTCACATGCTGTCCCCAAGACCAGGCGCCAGGGCCCTCTGGCTGAAATCACAAAGTTTCTCTGGGTGGAGCCACTTGTGCGCACCCCAGAGTTGTGGGTAGGGGCCTAGAGGTAGTGCGCCGCCTGTCTTCGGTGGGTACCTTGACTTCTTCCTTCTTGCTCCTCTCCTCCCGCCCTTCCCCTGTTTTAGCTGTGGGGGCCGAGGGAGGGCCAGCCCCGCCCACAGCCCCTCCTCCTGCCTCCCGCCCTCAGGGTCAGGAAGCGCGGAAGGAACTGCCGGGGGCCATGGACGGGGCTGTGATGGAAGGACCGCTCTTTTTGCAGAGTCAGCGCTTCGGGACCAAGGTAGTCGGGGGCGGGAATGCCAAACCCCATCGGGGTAGAAGGAGTGAAAGGGTCCAGCCAGAGGGAGGGGGCGGGTAGCATGTTGGAGCGCCGGGCGCTGGCAGTTGGAGAGCCCGGTGACGTTCTCGCGAAATGGCTTTGCACACTCTCGCAAAATTGCTTTTGCGCACAGAAGCGTGTGCAGACTCTGGATATACACTCTTGATGCTGGAGGTCCTTCTTGGGAAACTTTGTCTCCTGACTGGGAGTGCCAGACCTCAAATTGGCCTGCGCGGGTCCTTCCTCTGCCGTCCGGGTGTTGCTGCTCGCGCACTTCTGCTCCCTCCCCCGCCTCTCTTTCTTTCCCTCTCCGCAGAAGTGGAGGAAGACCTGGGCTGTGCTTTACCCGGCCAGTCCCCATGGTGTAGCGCGGCTCGAGTTCTTTGACCATAAGGGGTCGAACTCTGGAGGTGGCCGCGGGGGCTCGCGCCGCCTTGACTGCAAGGTGATCCGTCTGGCCGAATGTGTGAGCGTGGCTCCTGTGGCAGTGGATAGCCCCCCTGAGCCGGGCGCCGTTGCGTTTCGCCTGGACACTGCGCAGCGCTCGCACCTGTTGGCAGCGGACGCGCAGTCCAGTGTCGCTTGGGTGCAGACGTTGTGTCGAAACGCCTTTCAGGTGAGGGGACCGGGGTTCTAGGCGAGGGGCTGTGGCAAGTAGCCCTGGGCTTAAGGGGCGGTTTAAGGTGGGGTGGTTAACAGAGGCAGTCTACTATCCCGTACCCCAGAACTGCGTTGAGGAAATTATAGCGTCATTCATGCTCTCTCTACTACAGAAAGGCAGCTGGGCTCCGGTGCTGGCAGAGAACCCACCTAAGCTTTCTGCCCTGGAGATGCTGGAGAACTCGTTGTACAGCCCCACCTGGGAAGGTAGATACCTGAGAAGGCAGGGGTGGAGTGGGAAGGAGGCGTGCTCTTGGTGAGTTGGTGATTACAGGGGCCAGGGACTCTTAGAGAAGTAGGAAGCCTCTGAGATTCGGCTTCCAAATGAGCGCTTGGACACTACTCCGGAGTCCTCTGGGTCTCCACCCCTGCCCACAGTGCACCATCCCCCAGGTGCCTATCTAACTGTGTATTCCTTCCAGGATCCCAGTTCTGGATAACCGTCCAGAGGACTGAGGCTGCTGAGCGCTGTGGCCTGCATGGCTCCTATGTGCTGAGAGTAGAGGCTGAGAGACTGACACTCCTGACCGTGGGAACACAGAATCAGATCCTAGAGCCACTCCTTTCCTGGCCCTATACCCTGTTGCGTCGTTATGGTGGTGACAAGGTGCAAGGGCTGTCAGGGAGGTCTGTGAGGGTGGGCTTCCTGAGTAGGACAGCTGTAGGCCAGGAGGGGCAGGATAGAAAGATGGAAAACTCCGCCCTTTGAATCCTCCTTTTGCCTATACCCCAACCCCACCCTCCATCCTCAGACTTGTTTGTAAATGCCCTAAGTAGTTCAGGCCCTGTGATCTACCTCTTCTGACACTCCTAGTAATGTGTTTCCCTTCACACCCTCCTCAGGTCATGTTCTCTTTTGAGGCGGGTCGCCGCTGCCCCTCTGGCCCTGGAACCTTCACCTTCCAGACCGCACAGGGAAATGACATCTTTCAAGCAGTTGAGACTGCCATCCATCGGCAGAAGGCCCAGGGGAAGGCAAGAGAGGGGCAAGGTGTCCTCAGAGCTGACTCCCAAGAAGGGGAGGTGGCAGAAGGGAAATTGGCGTCTCCTCCTGTTCCCCAGGACGTACCAGGCAATACCCCAGCCCTGTATGCTGAGCCCTTAGACTCCCTGCGCATTCCTCCAGGCCCTTCCCAGGACTCTCTCTACTCAGACCCCCTGGACAGCACCTCTGCTCAGGCGGGGGAAAAGGTACAGCCCAAGAAACCTCTTTACTGGGACTTGTATGAGCATGTGCAGGAGCAGTTACAGAAGGCCAAGCTGACGGACACCAAAGAGGACCCCATCTATGATGAACCTGAGGGCTTGGCCCCAGCCCCTCTCCGGGGCCTTTATGATCTGCCTCAGGAGCCCAAGGATGCATGGTGGTGTCAGGCTCGAGTGAAGGAGGAGGGCTATGAGCTCCCCTACAACCCTGCTACTGATGACTATGCTGTGCCACCCCCTCGGAGCATAAAGCCCCTCCCAGCTCCCAAACCCCAGGGTCTGGCCTTGCCTGAACCTGGTGCTACAACTGGCAGTGGCAGCAAGGGCCACAGGACAGATACTGCCCTGTACAGTCAGGTTCAGAAGAGTGGGGCCTCAGGGGGCTGGGACTCTGGGTTCTCTAGAGTAGGGAATGACAGAACTGGAGTCAAGACAGAGGGCTCTACCTGAGAATGTTGCTGATATGAGGACCATGGTAAGGTGACACTGGGGATGAAAGAAACCTGTTAAAACAAATAGGACCAGAGAGTGGGAGGGGCCCAGATGAGACCCGAGGATCAAGGGATTAGGGAAATCAAGGGGAGGATCATCAGTCCCTAGAAGTGCTGGGGAGTGGAACTGATGGCAGGGCTGAGGGATAGACTCTGGGGAGGGTCAGCACTCTTAGTTATCCCTCTCCCAAAAGAACAGACAGCTGTTTGCTCAGATCTACAGAAAGGGTACTTGGTTAGAGTGGATACAGTTTGAAGGGCCTGTATGGAGGTTGCCTGGGTACTTACTCCTGCACTTTTCTTTGCCAGAGAAATATTTTTAAAATTTTAAAGATTCTCATTAAAGTCATCTTGAGTTTAAGAGGTCTCTGTGTGTGAATAGACACAGAGTGGGCACAGTGGCAGGGTGTGCTGGGTGAGTGTGGAGGGGATCAAAAAGAGAACCAGGAATTTGTTGGGGGCCATAAGAGGAGGAGAGACCCAGGGAGGGAAGCCTGCAGTGTGGGCAGTTCAGAACCTGGGTAGTCAAGTCAAGGCCAATCTCAGCTGGACTCTAACTCTGTCCCTGGGTGAGTTGTATGACATCAGTCTTCCCTATTGCCTTCTGTAAAGTACAGAAACTAATAATGTTCTAAATACCTCCTGGGGTGGTTTGTATGAAATGCAAGTACATTTCTGAAGTACTTAGTGTAGTCTGAAGCACAGAGAAAGTATTTTACAAATGGTAAAACTATTCTGTGGGTGGAGGGAGCTGACAGGTGAGTAGAGTTAAGGAGAGAGGAATAAGAAAGGAGCAAGCCTTTTTGACACCATCCTTTCCCCTGTTCTCAGGTATATGACAGCCCCCAACTCCCAACACACACACTTTGCATGTAGGTAACAAGCACCAAGCACTTATCTATTTGGAGCTAAAGGAACGGCAATGTGGTGGGTATACTGGGAAGAGCACTGGCTCTGGAATGAGGCTTGGGTTTCAGTCCTTGTTTTTCATGAGTGTTGAAAACCTTATTCCCATCTGCTTACATAGAGCTACAAGGAGAAATTCTGGGCTGGGAATGCTCCTAACAATGGTGAAGGTTTACTAGGCATTTAATCTTCATCTGTGACAATAGTATCAAATGATTGAAAAGAAAACAAGGGTCCCTGCTGGAGAAGGGATAGGCTTGGGTGTGTTGCTTCTCAGCCTGAGTGGGGCAGTGGCAGCATAGAGGACAGAGAAAGGAAAGGCTCTTTCTTCGCCTGAGCTCACGGAGGCTCAGGTGGATAGAGGGCAGGTGTGATTACAGATAGCCATTGTGCGGGTCTTGGCATGGATGTGGTGGCTGAGTAGGGTGGCTACACTCTGGTGCTAGTAACTCAGGGCCATGAGGGATACTTTTCCTCCACTCAGAAGGCCGGAAGAAGGCTTCTGAGGAAGCTTTGCTGGTTGCTGGCAACTTGGGGGCTGTGCTCAGGGCTGGAGTCATTGGCAGGGGGAGCACTGTGGCACGAACTCTGTTGGTCTGCAACTGCCCAGCCTGTGAGGAGAGCAAGCAAAGGCTTCTCTGAAGATCAGACAGATGCTGAGGTCCTTTCCTATTCCCCCTTGAGCCTCCTGTCCCTCACATGTTCCCTTTCTAGAGTGAAAAACTCAAGGCCCATGGATATGACTGTGGAGTCTCCATGGCCTGCAGCCTCTACAGTGTCATCTCCTTGCCCAGTGTCCCTTCTCTGTCAGCTTGCCCACAATCTAACTCATGGAGGGCTCTGTTCCCACACATCTGGTCAATTACTTCCCACTCTAGACTGGAGTTGGGAAACATCCTTCTCCTGTAATTTTAGCTAAGACAAAATGGGAATTTTTCTAAAAGATCTGTTACTGAGAAACTTGGAAAAAATTCATAAGGGCAAAGGGCAGCCCAAATATTACAGAGCATGGGTCTTAAAAAATATTTCTCCTTCAATTTCTTATTTCAACCCTTGTCACCAGGGCCCTGTCTCCAAGTTACCAAGATTGATTAGCTTCCCTTTTCTCATCTGTACAGTGAGTATAATACAACTTGCTGGGATGCTGGGAATATTAAATGAGAGAAATATGTGAAAGCACTTGTCATAAAACCTGACAAATGACTGACACTCTATAAATATTATTTTCCTTTCCCGTAGGCAGCTCTTTTTCCACCTTCCCTTCCACTTTTTCTTTCAAGGAGAGAGCTATGGTTGTAGTTCCAGTATATCCAGTTTGCTTAATGGAACAATGGTCTTGTTAAATGACTAATGAGTTACCATAAACACTATAATTAAAACACCCAAGCTTTATATGTAAATGCCTAAGCAGACAAGCCTCCTTATCCTGTGGGGTTGGGATTTCTTTCTTTCTTTCTCCTTCCTTCCTTCCTTCCTTCCTTCCTTCCTTCCTTCCTTCCTTCCTTCCTTCCTTCCCTCCCTCCCTCCCTCCCTCCCTTTCGCTGGTACTGGGGATTGAATCCAATGCCTCCCATATGCTAGTTAAGTGCTCTGCATTAAGCTATATTCCAAACTCTTTTTATTTTATTTTGAAACAGGGTCTCTTAAATTGCCTAGGCTGGCCTCAAACTTGTGATCCTCCTGCCTCAGTCTCCCAAGTAGCTGGGATTAACAGGTTGCCATATCCCAGCTCCTTGTCTTTTTTCCCCTCCTTTCTTGGCCTGGTTAATTCCTTCACCTGGGGTGGGATCAGGGCGGAGGGCTGCTCCCTTGAGTCAGGGTGGAGCTGGGGATGGGGATAGAGTGTTCTCTTGGGTTGTAGGAATAAAGGGGAGGGAATGATGTGAGGAAGGCAGGGAAGAAGGGGAGCTGTACCTTTCTTGGAGTCCTGTTCTCCCAGTTTGGGTAAAGCCGCCCCTGAGGCTTGGCAAAAGTGCTGCTCAGGTGTGAGTACAGATGGCTCCAAACCTGTAGTGGGCTATAGGTGGGCTCCAGCTCCAGGCCATCCAGTATGCTCTGAGGAAGAAAGGAGGAGCTTCACTTGGGAACTTGAGGTCACATAATGTAAGATGCAGAGACCCTTGTATGTGAGAGGTTGGAGGATGTATGTAGTCCTTGTGCTGTCCAAGCCTGAGTGCTATGAGGTAAATGGCAGCCAAGGGTATGAAAGTAGGGGCAACCCCAAGGGGTTGGGGACTCTGAATGAACTGGCCCTGGGAAGTGGGTCACCAGGTTCTTGGGAGTGGCTAGGACAATCCTAAGGGGTACAGGGATCTGGTGTGGGTGGCTGAGGGAGGGAGTGTCCTCAGGTTATACTGTGGGGTGGGGGTTCTCCAATCTGCAAGGCAAGTACACAGAATTCCTGGCCTGAGGTGAGTTGAGCAGAGAAGGAGGGACATAGGAGCACAGCATTCCTGAGCAGTCAGGTTTTCCGGCCACAACATCCTGTGCCAGGAACCACTGGCCCCAAATCGAGACACTGAGTGAGCCACAGCCACTCGTGCCCTCCTCTCTCTGCATCCTCTTGGCTGCCAGGCTCTGTCCTTTCAAGTCTGCTGGCAATCCAGCACTGATATAGTTGATGTAGTTCCGGATCTCCCTCTCCAGAGCCTCCCCATCCCACCCCCAGGCTGGGGAAACTAGCCAAGGAAAAACAGAATCCAAATGTAGAGAAGAGAGGAGGAGAAGATGGCTTTCAGGACTGTTCACTCCTTTGCATTCGAGTCTAATTTTGAGGCCCTTCCTATTCTGGTTCCTACATTGATTGGCTTTTGCTCTTTTCCCAACAAATAGAAATAGATGCCTAGAAACAGGTCTAATACCTAACACCTGTACAGCAGAGAATTAGACCTGGAAGAATGCATCATCACACAGACATGCACAGGAGGAGCCACACACTAAGGCACAGACATGCAGCCACCTACAGACAGCACATACACATTCAGGGACACCAAAATAAACATCCAAAGACACTAAAACACATATACAAGCTTCAGTTTCTTGGGCATCTCTTTTCACTCCCTCCTCCCTTCTTTTTTCCTTTGCTATCCACTCTGTCTTGTCTTTCCCCTTTCCTCCCTAATGTACTCCTTTCATTTTTCCAGCCCCACAGTCTCCTTTCCATGATGAAAGTGTTAGAAATTCAGAGGGGGAGAGGAGTAGGCAGGATAGCTGCTAGCAAAGATAAAACTAGACCAGATAGAACAAGAATTCAGTGCTCCACCTAGTGCTGGACCTGCCTGTGCTGACTTCCTCCCCTGCCTCCATTCTCCCTTGCTTGCTCTCAGCTTTCCCTTCTGACACTCTCCCTTTTCTCCTTTGCAGCTCCCCATTGGTGTTTATTTTAATTAGATTTCAGGGTGTGTGTGTTTGTGTTTGTGTTTATGCTCCTCCAGGATGACACTAATTCCCAGTCCTTAGCTTATACCAGTGACCTTTTTCTCTCTCAGTTCTCTTTTCAAACCTCATTTCCCTCAAGCCAAGTAGGAGTTTCCCTTCTACTTCATTTCTCACTTTGCTGCCTTAATCTTAGCGTTGACTACCCACTGCTCTCACCCCCATTTCCCATCCCTGCAGTCTTCTTTGACCTTCATGCCACACCCATGGGATCACTCCCCTCTCTACCCTCCCCCAATTATCTTCTCTCTCCTCTATCTATACCATGAGACCTGGGTTCCACTTGCCTCCACAGTCTTAAGGCTGTCTTCAGGAGGGTCCTCAGGCAGCAGGGGGAAGGGGCTGGGCAGCATGAGTTCCCGTGTGGCCACAGCCTTCACCAGCAATGTGGGCGAGTTCGATGGCATTATCACATAGAAGGTGCTGGCAGGAACTCTTTGGCTGTGTCCTAGGCTCAGGGGTTCCCCTTTGGCCAATAGCATCCATTCTCTTTTCTGAAACAAGGACATATATAAATGCTAATTAACCTTCAGTCTTTGGCATATTTTGAGGATCAGTCTCAACTGAGACTTCCCTGTTCCTCTGGGGGTACTGGGGAGGACAGAACATTTCACTTTGGCCTGGGAGGGAGGGGCTTCCTGCCTGAATCACCAATACCACAAGGTACTATCTTCCTCCCTAGTCCAGGATATGCCAGAGTGAAACACAAGTTAAGAAATGCTCTTTAATTTGAAGTTGGTGGTACCCCAAGTGGATTATTCAATGGTGAGTGTTGGGTTTTAAGAATTATAATTCTTCCTGTATTTGTTTGTTTGCTTTGGTGCTGGGGATTGAATCCTGGACCTCATGTGTGCTAAGCATGTGCACTACCATTGAGCTATATCTCTAGCTGAGAATTAGAATAATTTTTTTCCTTTTTTTTTTTTTTTTGTGTGTGTGTGTGTGAGGAGTGGGTACTGGGGATTGAACCCAGAGGCCATACCCCTAGCCCTTTTTAATATTATTTTGAGACAGAGTCTTGCTAAATTGCCGAGGCTAGCCTCAAACTTGCAATCCTCCTGCCTTAGCCTCCTGAGTTGCTGGAATTACAAGTGTACATCCCCATACCTGGCTCAAGAATTATAATTCTTGGGCTGGGATATAGCTCAGTCTGTAGAGTACATTCCTAGCATGCACAAGGCCCTGGATTCAATCCCCAGCAGCACCACCAAAAAAAATTATAATTCTTAACAATGTCTGGGAACAGAGATGTGTAAACCAGGCACCATGGTGCATGCCTGTAATCCCATCTGTTTGGGAAGCTAAGGCAGGAAGATCGAAAGTTTGAGACCAGTCTGGGAAACTTAGTGAGACCTTATCCCAAATTAAGAAAATTAAAAGGGCTGGGGATATAGCTCAGTGGTAGAGCACCCCTGGATTCAATCTCTAGTACTGTCAAAACAACAACTATCACCACCACACCAGCAAGCTAAGTGACAGAAATGTGTCGAAGGTGGTATAGAAATTCAGGTTTTAATTTGAGGGTGATAAAGTTTGGTTGTGTTGCTACTGACTGCAGTTAGAATGGGATGATTGGGGTGTGCCCCTCTAATGCCCAGAATGGGTTTAAGAAAGTACTCAAAGCAGCCTGTTGGGTAAGAGAAGGAGGGGACAGGGAGAGGAAATCTTTAGTATAACCAGGCTGTGGTGGTGGAGACAGGGCTTTGGAGATCAACCCAGCTAGTCACAGGACAAAGCCAAGGGTCAGGATTCTGGTTGCAGCAGCTCTGTGAATAAAGATAGGTGGCATTTTGCCACATACCATGAAGATGACAGAGGTTAGTACATGGGTAAGGAGAAAAGACAAACAGACTTAAAAGCAGACTTTGTAGTTGCACCTTTTTAAATGAGGCAATTTTCCGTGGTATTTTTCCAAGGAAACCCACAAAACTCCAGGAAATATGGAGCCAGAAAGGTTACAGTCATCTGTAAATTGTGTCCTTTTGTGGGGTGATCATTAGTTATATCTGGCACAAACATAAGTCTCCCTGCTACATAAGATGAAAGAAAACAACACCAGTTCTAACCACTCTAACTTGTATGAAAAGTTGGAAGAAATATTGTATGAGAAAGGCACAAGGAAAAGGAAAAGCTTTTAAGAGAAAAGAGGGATATCAGTGTCTTAAGGAAGACAAGTAGGAAGTGACTTAGGGAGGTGGCAACACCTGCTGTATTGGAGTTATTCACAGAGGCTGGGTGGGAAGGGGTAGCAGGGGAGGCTCTCTTGACTTGTAAAAGTAGTGTTGTCATCCAACGCAGCACAGAGGTTTGAAGAGTCTCGTAGGCACCAACAAGTGGTGCAAGAAGTGTGTACCGTTCCTGTGGCTGGTGACCTCTCTGTGGGGTGGGAATCAACTGATTTTTCTGGAGGTATAATACTACCTCCTCACAGAAGTTTGTTTGTTTGTTTGTTTTGTGGGTGGTGATGGTGGTGGTGGTGATTAGGTGGTTTGGGCATGGGAAAATGAATCACAACCATAATGATAATCACAAACATTAATGAAATGCTTAACAGGTGCCAGGCACTGTGCTAAGAGCTTTATAGGTGCTTTCAGAAATTCTTGGCATCTTATATCTGGAGGTGTGCTATCTTCCTGAGGGACATATCCAAAATATGATGGGAAATCTGATTCTTACCAAATCCATCAGGTTGGAAATAAATGATATAGGAATCATGGTACATGTGTGTGTTGGGCTATTTGTGTGCCTCAGGGTCATGGCCTCTTTAAGCCCAAAGGGATAACTAGGAAGTTTCTAAGAGCACTCCTCTTCAGTTAGCTGAAGTAACTTCTGATAGGGCTCAGGATTTGAATTATTATTATTATTATTTATCCTTTTTTTTAGTTGTTGATGGACCTTTATTTTACTTATTTGTATGTGGTGCTGAGAATTGAACCCAGTGCTTCATACATGCTAGGCAAGCACTCTACCACAGAGCTACAACCTCAGTCCTGGATTATTATTAACTTTTAAATCCAGTTTTTACATTAGTTCATGCATTCTTTTGTAAATTTTCTTATTTGTTAAAAATTTATTTAGTGCCTATTATGTTCCAAGCACTAGGTGTATGTTGATAGAAATTCATTAGACATGTTCCTTGTCCTCTTGGAGTTTATAAGAGAGTAAGGAGAAGGCTTATAAACTAATGTTTGTCCAAGTCTTAGGATGCTCAACTTGTCTGGCTTGCCTGTTTTTAGTATTGACAATTTTGTGCCCCAGGTAACCCCTAAGTCCTGGACAAATCCTTCCAAGACTTGAGTAAGCATAAGGTATCTTGCCACTGATGCAAGAGGTTAGGGGCTAAAACTATGCCACTGTGACATTTTTTTTCTTATGTCTGCTAAGACAGACATAAAAGGAAGAAACTTATTCCTGCTACTTTGTGGGGTTACTAAAAATCTTTGAGTGTTGCATACTGAAAACTTTTGAACACTAGAATTTAAGTCTATGGATTTTTAGACAGTAGCTAAGTTTCTGTTGGATAACTGGTAGGTGGAAATGATTACAGTCTTTTAAAAGTCACTGCTGATGCTGGGACTGTCAGAGGACTGGGAAGACTTGTGTTGCTGAAATGATTTTACAGAATGTTTTAAAACTTCTGGATTGATTTACAGAGAGTTTGGTTGAAGTCTATTTGAGGAACTGCAACAAATACATCCTTATTTCATGAAGACTTATCTTCAGTTCCCAGAAGCATTCAGAGAAAGTGAGAAATAGAGAAGTCAAACTTCAAGGTGTCCTTATTTAAGGCTTGGAATTTCTACCCTCTTCCTGGACAGAGATTAATAGTACCAGGGCCCAAGCTTGAAGATATTACTCAAGTCATGGGTTGACCTGCTAGGATAGGCAGTGGTACCTATGATGGACATGGTTAATTGCCATAGCAGGTGTCTGAGGCTGGGAAAAAGCATTGTCTGAGGATAGCCTAGAAGACCAGCCTTTGGGGTCCTTGACTTAAAAACATTGCTTAATGACTGGAGATGACTGCTGAATAATTTAGCATATGTTTTGTGCTAATTCTAAAGAAAGGAGCATGAGTTATATGTTAAACTTTTTACTTACAAGAAGGAAAGTAAAAAGATGTCTGTGTTTATGTTATAGTTAGGAACTTTGTCATATAGAGTGCCAGCCCAGGACACTTAGACTTTATAGAGGGCCTGAAAATCTGTAGAGCAGATGGACAGGGACAGAGTTGAATATTATGTCATACTCCAAGCCTAGCTTAACTTAAAGTCATTTCATTCTTTTAAAAATATTTATTATTTTTTAGTTATAGTTGGACATAATACCTTTATTTCACTTATTTATTTTTATGTGGTGCTGAGGTTCGAACCCAGGGTCTCGCATGTGTGAGGTGAGCGCTCTACCGTTCTAGCCACAACCCCAGCCCTCATTTCATTCTTCACTTAACTTCTAATTGCTAAGGCTATAAAGGAAGTTATGGCAATACCTGGCTAGCCACCACTGGCTAGCCACCACTCCCATTCTCTACTCCTTTTGCTTTACCCAATTTTCAGTCTTCAGTCATTGGTCTAGGGGTGATCATGTGACCTGGATTTAAATAATGAGACAAGTCGAAGTTGCTGGGTGAGTCTTTTGGAAAAACTTTGTAATATTATGGTAGGCCTTTGCCTCTGCACCTTACTCCTTTTTTCTCCCTTGGACAGGACTTGGTATTAGGTGTATCAGCTCTCTTGTGACCAGTTGTAAGGATGATGTACACCTGCTATGAATGCTGGGGCACAAAAACAGAAAGAGCTCTGGTCCTTGAGGTTCTCATTGATCAACTGCTTTTGCCCTGAAATTGTCTATCTTCAGACTTCTTTTTGCAGGAGAAAAATAAACTATTATTTAATTTACAGTTGGATTGTTTTTCTGTTAGTCACAGCCAAATGGATTTTTTAAAGGGAAGGAAGAAGTTGTGGTTACTTATATCTGGGTATATGGCTGGGACAGGAGTGAAAGGAACAGCTTCAGAGGCACTGATGTAGGCTTTGCTTGAAGAGTAGGTAGGGGTTCATTATAGCAGGTGGAAGCTTTAATTTTACTAAACCAGCACTGCCTTGGTTTGCCATCTGTGTGACGGCCTGAGACTAATTTCAGAATGCAACTGAAGAAGCACAGATCAACTCCTGAGTGAGGGTGTTTCAGAGGCAGTCATTGACAGCAGGAGGAACAAGACCACTCATTTTGCTTTGCTTGTGGGGAAGAGATATATTTCATTAGCACAGGAATACATGTGTTCATGAAGTGAAACCACAGCTAGTTAAGGAAATAGCTAAGCATACCTTGGCATAGCTTTTCTTCTTCCTACAAGAAAAGACAGGCTCAGATGCCTTCACTGGTGAAGTCTACCAAATGTTTAAAGAAGAAATAACACTAATCCTTCACAAATTCTTAAAAAAATAAAACAAGAGAGAGAATCCTTTCTAAATGGAACCTGGAAGGACATCAGGAAGAAATTAGAATAATTCGATATTTACTTTTCCTTTCACCTCAGAAAGTTAGAAACCAGACAGGGAGAAGAATAATATACAATGTTCAATATTCTCTGCTGTCATACTGACTTCCACAAAGGGGACTAGAGGAAGTGGATAAAAGGGATTCTGGACTGGGGATGTAGCTTAGTGGTTAAGCACTTGCCTAGTGGGGGTGAGTTCCTGGTTTTGATCTATAGCACAGAAAAAAAATCCAAATACCAAAACACCAGATTAAACATTCTTCTC